CCCAACATCTGACCTGTTGCTACAGGTTAATCAAATAAGCCACCCTAGTCCCACACAGCATGACTTTGCAATTGTCTGTAACTTGCTCCTCCCGTACTGCCTTTTATTACATCATTAATACATGGGAAGCCCAACCGACAGCTGAGGGTGACTGCAACTCTGAAAACAGTGCTTGGTTTGTTTATATCACTTAACTTAGAGCGGGAAAACACTAAAATGCACCAACTGTCTGGTTGGTTTAAAGGGAACATGAACATCTCAAAGCTTTAACGAACAAAAACCAAAACAATGCCAACAGATGACATGTTTACTGTCCATCATAACTCACATCTTGACAGCGACTTTGATGCCAAGACATTTATTCAGAGGCAGACAAACACATCACTTACCGCTGTAACGTTTAGGGCAGTGTTAAGAGAAGAGAGGATGGGAGGGACGGAGGGTAGCTCTTCACATTATTCATGGATGTTGCCTTTAGTATCAGCTACTCGGTTTGTTTGGATGGAAGAAGGAAAGCTGCAGGAGAACGTGTCATAATGTTGAGCTCCATGAAACAAAGGCAGCATTTTGCTTGTTCTCTCAGAGGAATGTGAGAAATGTAGGTAATGACAGACTTATGGAAAGTTATAACAAGAAGATGTGGAAACTATTGGAAACTACAGAGCCTTAAAAAAAATGAACTATCCTATATTTTCAATGTAAAGGGGGGATTTATACCACATCAATTCAGTTAAAATTTGATCAGCTTTATTATCATTAGAAAATACTAAGCAATATTGTCTTGTCATTCAAAGACAGTAATAAGAAAAATGAAAATAAGTAAGAGTGTTCATTGTTTGTATCCACAGTTGACACTTTATTTCTCCCTGTGTCATGTAGGTTTTTCACGTCCAAGGCTCCCGAAATGGTCAATCAATTATTAACCGTGATTCTTAAACCTTAAAAATTAAAGGATTGCAACAACTGTAAATTCCATCCTGCAGTGAAATGGCCTGAAAAGCCTAAATTCTAAGTCTGATAAGGACTAACGGAGGCTGAAACATTGCTTGTTGACCACTGCATATGGAGTTATCTTCCTATGTGCTATCTAAAACATCTTTGTAATGTCTGCAGTGAGGCTAGCTGCTTCCACCAACACAGTACAATGTGAGAAAATCTTACCTACAACTTTGAAAATCAGCTCCTGCTAAAAAAACTATTAAAAAGTGTCAATTTTTTGGAGGCCCAAGCCAGAGTGGGAGACAGGCAGTAGTCATACAGTAAGCCTAGGAATGTGTGCCATCGTGCTTGATAAGTATCAGTGACTTGCTGCAGGCTTCAGACTGTGACTCACAGGAAGTTACTGTTTGAGTTGGTTTACACAGATGGAGACCATTCTTAGTCAACATCCACATAAAAATCAGTCTGGGCCCTTTTTAGTTTCTTTTTTTTTTTCTTGCCTCCTTTTCAGTGGACGAAGACAGTGGCTGAGCCACAATGGGCGGGCGACAGCCCCTTTGTAAGCTTTAACTCCAAAGTTCTCATGGCTCTGCTATTTCATACAGTATGAGTATGAATAAGTCTGACTTCATCGTTCATGTCTCCACATAAGTCAAAAGATTTTAATCCCATCTGCGTAGTGGTGCAGTTCTTCAGTATCATATAAACAGCTTTCACTTTCCTCAGTTTTGTGCTCAGAGCTCTGATGATGGGGCCTAATGAAATTTAGGCTGTGGTTACCAGCAGTTACTGGCCTTCTGCTCAGGTTCACCTGGTGTGCATTAGGATAAGATTCCTAATCATTACTCCATCCCCTGTGCGTCTCCTGCTGAGAGCCACGCTGAAGGAGGAGGCTCAAACATCTTCACATATGGTGCTTTAATGTGTCAGAGATAACTGCAGGGTCCTTCTCACTGCTTTAGTATGTGTTTGTGCCATGTATTGAGATCGGTTACTGTGGTACAAACAGCAACACAGCCATCTAAAAGTATTATTACTGGTATATTAACATGTGAACAGTTTAATGTTGTAGTTGGTCAAGGTTTAGCAGATTTTAGCCAGTTTTTATGCTGTTATATCAGTGTAAAGTAACTATAACTCTTTATTTATAGATATAAAGTGCAAAAATTCCCCCAGTGGAGTATATTTACAAAGTACAGCAAAAAGTAAAAGTACTCCAGTAAATTATTTTAGGGTTATTTATGTTTTTAAAGATATTTTAAATGGATTTTTAAGATTTTTAAGGGTTTGGGGAGGTTTTAAGGCCTTTATAGACTCTTCATTATGTTTTGATAAATTTTTCATTATTACTTTATATTTTTAAAAATGTTTTATGGCAGGGGGGGATTTTGGGGGATTTTTCTCAGAGACCTTTTACAGAATTTTAAATAGATTTTTATCTCAAATGTAAATTCTCTGCTCTAACTTGCTGACTCATTTTGTGACCATGATCTGTTGTAAGTTAAACTGTAAATCAATTTAAGGCAATTTACCTAATTCTCTCATCAGTGGACTTCATGAAAAAAAAAAAATGTTTTTGAATAATAAGTTGTGTAAGCTGATTTTTGTCCTGTCAGAGGTGTCACAGTCTCTGAGAGGTCATAAGTTTGAATATTATTTTTCTTTAAATTACACTTTAACCCTGAAATATAAAAACATCTAAATGGTTCCCAGATTAAGGGATTCTCATCTTATTGATGTGAAATGTTTCTGTTAATGCTACAAATGAAACAAAAGCTTATCTGCCTGCTTTTTCACTCAGCTCTGAAATGACTTCTCAGTTTCACCTTGATCTGGAGCCTATCTACTGTTTTCTTACTGGAAACAGCTGTGTGGTCTAATTGGATAAGAGGAATGGCATCCTGCTGGTACATTCAAGACCATCTCCTCCTTGTTTATAAAAATCTAATGCTTTACAAGTTAGGGCTTTCTTTCAATTGGAAATTTGAAATACTGGGTAAGATACTCAGAAAATAATCTGCTCCAGAAAAGCTTTTCTTCCCTAACAGGGTCTGGAGTATTTCATATACAGAAGAAAACTGCTTTATATTATACTGTGAGATTTCCTTTACTGGTGTCAGATGTTAAGAGCTAACAGCTTGTAATTAAATACAGTTTTATTGCCTCCGCTGTTGTAAGGAATAACATCCTTTTCTCCCTGAAGTTTGGGGCTTTTTTGCAGTTTGGTGGTTGTCATGTAAACCTGCATGTCAACAAAATACCAAACATCACTGTGAGGTTTTATGTGTAAGAAAGCAGCGGCTGAGGAGGTGTTTTTATCTGTGTTCCTGTTTCTCCCTTGCTGGTTTAAATGCAGAGATTTTATCCACATCTTTGCAAAGTTCAAAAAAACAAAGTTCCTTGAGTTTCAGCAAATATTCACACCCATCATACTGTATCTTATCCCACACACACACACATAAAAATATATTTTTTTGTCCATTTCTGATTTTTTTTTTTTTTTTACCTCAGCCACTTACCTCCTTTCTGATCCCAGTCCACTGGTATCATCAGCTTCCTCACTAACAGCTTGAAGCTGATTCTGACACCCGGGATGTCATGCGAAACCATGAAGGACAGGAGGCAATAAGCTGGGGAATAGCAGCAATCTTCAGGAAAGTTCTCCATTCACTCTCTCTCCCATCGTTCTCTGTGCTCTTATCCAGGCTGAAAGATAAAGAAAAAAATCAATAGAGAAACACAGTGTTAGATAAAAGCAGAGAGGGGCATAGAACCCAGCCAAGTTGGGTGTAGTGAATTAAAGTGATCAGAAATTTCCCAGCCACTCAGCCCTCAGTCTACATAACCTAACAGCCCTGTCTTAGTGCTGTCTATCACTCTCCACTCTCTGTTCAGTCCCTCTTTGTTCACTTTTGATTTCTTTTTGGTCTGTTCTCTGTTTGATTTGTGTTTTGGGATGAAAGTACTACTCCCATTCTGCCACAGTAACTGATGAGTGAAGGTTTTGGATAGTGCAAGAGGGCCTGTCTGAAGCTCAGCCTCCATATCAGCTTTGACACCAACTGGTCTCTGTGGTGGTAACTGAGAATGGACTGCCGTGACCAGTCCGCTGTTTTCAGCTATATGAGTGGTGTGGCTTTATGGTCTTTCAGTCGATTCACCACTTTGGTCTAGACTGAAATATCTCAACGATTACTGGATGGATTGCCATGAAATTTTATACAAATAGTCATGGTCCCCAGAGGATGGGTCACTCTGAAGCTGGTGATTCCCTTATGTTTCCTCTAGCACCACCAGCAGGTCAGAGTCATCACTTATTGAGTGAAATGTCTCCACATATAGTAGGCGGGTTGCTATTTAAATTGGTACAGAAATAAAGGGCCCCAGAGGATGATTTTTCACTTGCACAGGTGAATATCT